TCGACTGACTTCCCATGCCTTGGCCGCCTTTCCCGTGCATCAGACTTGAGCCCAGCACTCTCGCACATCCATTCTCTTTGTTTCCACTCTGTTTTGGACTTTGTCTGAGCAGTCCTTTCTGCTCTGCTTCTACTGTTGGTTCTGACTGCTGTAGTCTTCTGCCTCTCTCCTGTCAGGTGGACCAACCTCTGCCCGATGTTCCCACACTCATCTAGTAGTCCGTTGGTCCTCCTAAGGAGGACCTCCGCTCTGACATCCTGTTGGAGCTTGTAGAACTCATGTCAGACTACAATCCAAAATTAGGGGCACATACTTGGGTAAGGGGTGCAGCCCATGAGCTGAAGCCAAGCCCCTCAGACTCTGCCTTACCCCTGAGCACGGTCTTAACAGTCCTGCTGAGATGCACTGTGTGCATTGTTGGAGAAGGAGGGATGGAGCAGACAGGGAAACAGGGGGTCGGACCAGCAGTGGAGATGTCTATAGGTGGTATTGGAGGTGCTTGGATCTGGTATATGACAATGATCCATGGAGCACCACGGCATCAAGCAGGGCATTGACAACAGAGTACCTCAATTTCATGTTTGGGATCTCACTAAATTGGCCAGTTTGTATTCATGGTATATATTCATGTGCAATATAACATTATACATTGTTGATGGATATCATAGATACAATGTTGAGATGTGACAATCATATCAACCCTACCTTCACAGGGCTCAATAAGGTCATGCATCAAATCAATAAATGATCCAATGAGGATACAAGCCATCCTCAATATCCCACTTTCACACATCATGCTGCCCAATGGTTTTAGGTGTGCCCAATGTTCTTGTATCCCCATAATGTATTGCTGAACCTCAGACCCAGGGATCTTGATCACAGCCTGGTGCACAGATGGAATCAAACAACACACTCAGTTCTGATCACATCCAAGGTCCATCCAGAGAACTTCATGGTAAAGGGATGGGCATTGCTGCATCATGCAGGATTCCTAATGTATCCTCATCACTGACGCTGAAGGGACATTGACATGGGTCAGGATGGAGACTGAGATCATGTTTTGGGTTGTGTTCAGGTTGAAGAGTAGAAGCAGCAATTGCATCCATCTGCAGGAACTTGCAACTAAACTCACCAATTTCAGCAAGCACACAAAATGGCTACAGAAGTACTGCAATGGTGAGGTTATCACACTCCTGCCAGGGGCATCTTGTAGGCCAACAATAATCTGACATTTAGATTGCTCACATTCCAGGAATTTATGTTACTTCCTCCTGGGACATTGCAAACTGTGTATATGTCATATACCTGATCCGACTGCTCTGATATTAATATCTGCTCCGCTTTCCACTCCTACGCTTCTGCTCAACCACTCAACTGGTTCCCTTCCATAATGTCTTCATTCAACTGGACCTTTTTCCCCATTTAGATATATACTTTCCCCTTCGGTACATAGACCCTTACTTCCGGATCACCAGTAATTCCTATTACCAGCTCGATTTCTGATCCTGATGCGTACATATCAATATCCACTCCAACTTATGTCTTCACCTGTGTAAAGTACTTACAAACTATATCCTTGGTACATAGCTTTACAACATAGTTATCCTGATCACTGCCTCATACATAGAATTATATAACATATCCTGTACTTAGATATTTTCCCCAGTCTTAATATTACTTGTCTTCTCGCAGTTACTACTTGTGAGAATTCTCAGTAGGACCTTGCCTCCTCTGGACACAAGTTTCACCTTGTTGTCACCTCCAACCCTCCGCTCCAACTTAGAGCCATGCTCTAAGTCTTCTCTTTACTTCTCCGCCCCTATCAAGTATTTCCCCTGCTCCTTTCCGCCCTCCGCATTATCCTCCAACTGCCTCCGCTCCTATCAAGCATTTCCCCAGCCCCTTTCCACCTTCCCCATTATCCTCCGCCTTCTCCACCCCGCTCCTAGTTCGGTCCGCCACTAGTAGCTCTTACCACCTAACCCTCAAGTGGACCTAAGTGGTCCACTCGTCCTATCATTGGACAACGTCGGACCTGCTCCAAATTTGGGGCACTGTGCTCGGCTAAGGGCGCAGCACAAGAGCTGAAGCCAAGCCCCGACCCCTCTGCCTCTTGAGCCGGCACAGTACCTAACAGTATACATCAGTCCCATCATTTTGCACTGGAAGACACTTCTATCATTATTCCTCCATGCACCTAACAGAACTCTCCCACTACATTGATTCTGAAGTCACTGACTCCACAACTAACCAGGCGCTCAATCACACATTGGAGACCTTGTGTCATATGGTCATCATGATTCCATATCTTATAGTGTTTGTGTCTGACATTTCTTGCTATCTGTTTTTTCTTACCATTACCTTCACCCATGGTTTCTCGCCTTTATGGGTGTTCACTGTTGATGACAGTGGCCACATTCCTCTTTGTTGTTCCATCCACCTTTCCTTTGGACTATGGTCAGTGGTTTCTCACCTTTATGGGCATTTTCTATCAATGATGGTGGCCACCTGCTTGTGTCTTGATTAGTGTATCACAGTTTCTCACTGTGTTAAGGTCGTGCTCAAGGGAGAGGTTACTCAAAGGGCTTCGGCTTCAGCTCATGTGCTGCGCCCCTTACCCTGAGTACATGCCCTTAATTTCCAGGGAGGCAGAGGGGAAGTCCAATGGAAGTCCGGGGAATTCCGGAAGACAGAAGTCGGTGGAGTTTGGCAGAACTCCAGAAGACTATGTGGGGACGGAGTAAGGCTACTATGGAAGTCCGGAGTAGAAACAGAACAGAGGTTAGACTACCCTAAGGTAGAGCTGGAGGATTAGTCCTAAGGTTTAACCCCTAAGACTCAGAGGTGGACAAGAGGTGAGACTCAAGTCTGGAGATTGTAGGAATGAGCAGAACTAAGATGATACTCAAACTGAGGAGTTCCAGAGTATTACAGGGGTTTATATACTGTAGGTATCATATAGGTAAATCAGTCAGCAAAGATAAGGGCTATGTACAAAGCATGTGGAAAGTCTATTAGTAAGCAGTAATGGATCAAAGCAGTGAAGTCGGAAATGAAGTAAGAATGGACGGATCAGTAAGCATAGCGGAATAGGACATAACCGGTAACCGGAGCAATAGCTATTCTAAAAGGAGCTAGGGGTGAGTGCGGAGATGAAGGTGGAGCACCAGGCAGAATAGCAGGATGGAGAACTGGACTTTAATGGAGTAGATCCAGAATTCCGGATCCGGAGGTATGGGATATGACAGTGAGGCATGGTGTTCCTCCTGCCTGATGATAGTGAAGGGGATGTGTTCCTCCCACATGATTGTGAGAGGGGTATAGTGCTGCTCCTGTTTGATTAAGGGAGACTGGAGATGTTCCTCCTCATTAATGATGGGAGACAGTGAACATTTGTTTTGACAGGCAGGGAGAGGTAGCATGTCTGCCTCAGATGTATATAAGGTGGCATAAGTGTAGGAGATGAGAGGTGCCTTACCTCAGGTGGCACCACAGCATACAATGCAGCACTGGCAGTGCACTCATGCATGCTCAGATACATCCCTGGTACCAGAACAGTAGGCCTCCACCTCCACCTCCATAAAGTATCAGGAATGCATATAAATTCAATATGGATTTTGAAAAGCAAGAAGATGGACAGGAGCAATAGAATGGCAGGTGCATTCAATAGAACCAATGATAACGTCAACCTCTGCATATATGTGCCATAACAAGGTGAATAGTTGGTGCATCAATGTTAGGATAGGTATTCCTGATCTTACATTTCAAATACTCTTAAATGCTGTCTGTGACATTAACCAAAGTGATCTACCAGTCTAGGGAGTACATGAGAACCTCATCCACATGCTCCAACAAGGAGTAGCACAGCTTAATTACAGACCACATACATGACTCCCTCCCTTCATGTTATATACCTGATCTGACCACTCTGTCAATATTAATATTTGCTCCGCCCAACATCCTACTTCCCCCACTCTCCTACCATCTCCACTCCATCCACCCTCCACACAACCCAGTCAGCTTCTGTATCCGCTCCTATGGCTCCGCTCGACTGCCTCGTCGGTTGCCTTCCACATCATCCATTCTACTGTAAATCCCCTTGTCCCATTTAGATATATACTTTCCCAATTTGCACTTAGTACTTACTTCCCGGATCACTGGTACTTTCTATAACCACTTGACTAACTGATCCGATGCGTACATATTGATATCCGCCCTGACTTATGTTTTTCACCTGTGTTCACTTACAAATTGTATACTTGGTACATAGCCTCCTACCAAGGACTAACCAGTCACTGCATCCTACTTAGAAATACATAAAACATATCCCCTACTTAGCTACACCCCAGTCTTAATATTACTTGTCTTCCTGCTGTCTCTACTAGTGGGAATTCTCTGTAGGACTTTGCTCCCTCTCTGAACACAAGTATACCTTGTCGTCACCTCCAACCCTCCACTCCGACTTTAAGAGCTGCGCTCTAAAGTGTTTGCTCTTACTTCTCTGACTCCCCCTATTGTTCCCCTTGCTCCCCTCCATTCCAATAAGCTTCCTCCACCTTCTCCGCTCCACTCCTAGTTGGATTACCACTAGCAGCACTTACCTCCCGACCCACCAAAGCGGACCAAAGCGGTCCACTCATTCTATTGTCAGACATTGTCAAATCCGCTCCAAATTCAGGGCACGTACTTGGCTAAGGGCGCAGTGCAAGAGCTGAAGCCAAGCCCTGACCCCTCCGCTTCTCCATTCGAGCACGGTCTCTAACACTTCAGCCCTTCTCCTTGCCTGTTCCATGTATGTCTGGCATCCAAAGGCTATACTGCTGAATTTGCCATGAGTTGGATGCTGTCCATTCTCTTTCCAGCATAGGTCTTCTGTTATTTGTGGTGATTGAGCATCTTATAGTGCAAGTTTTTTGTGTTATGATGTTGCTCACTCTATTGGACTCTTACTTAGCATGTGATGTGAATTCCTTACTGACTTAGGTAGTGTTTATACTTATTTACATAGACTTGCCCATAGGTAGCAAGTCCTCTGTTGGTTGCTCTTTAGCAACTGACACTGGACTATAGTCCTATTCACTCTCATGAGCTCACTTGTGGCTTGGTTCTCTCAGTTATTCTAACACCTTCTTGTGCCCAGAATCACTGTCATCCCAGAGTGCACACTCCTTCACCACCTCCTCTGCCTCCATTCTCAGTGCCTGGGTGAGGCATACCAATCCCCAGATGTTCCTAGTGTTGGATGCCTTGTCATGCTTTGCCTGTTCCACTAAGTCCCTAAAACTTTGCTCCCTCTGCTCCGCTGTCTCCCAATCTCCACTAGCATCATTGTAGCTCATCAGCTGCCCATCAACACACCCACCTGGAATTGCCAAGGTGGCAAATGCTTCAGAAAGAATCTCATGCAGGCTGTTCAATAATACCTCCATCTGCCGTCTAATGCACATGTTGACTGTCTTCATCTTGGCATCACCCTCATTGTCTGAATCTAATCAATCTGCAGATGGCCTGTACTGTTCATCGATCATGTCCTCAAGGGCTGATGCAAAGGGAGGTGCTCCAGGGACTGTGAAGATTGTGTATGTTACATAGCAAGTAGGCATTCACACACACACAGAAAGTAATAGATGCTTCTGCAGGCCTTCTACTGGTACTAGGCATTAGATGTCTCAGTCAATTGGTATTGATTGATAGTAAGGTGAAGTCAAGTGAAGAGAACTCTGAAGAAACAATTGCTTGATGTGTGATGGGATAGAGTGAATTGAGTTGTGGATTGTTAACTGTGGATTGAATGTGAGACTAATTAACCTGATCTGAGTTCATGATTGATTGGTGTGCAATGGGATGGAGTCAATGGAGTTGTGTATGATGGACTGTGGATTGAATGTGACACTAACAAACCCAATGCATTTTTGCCATTGCTACCTGGCATGCATGAATGGAGGCATTGAATACAATGGCTTAACCCATCCCTGACACAGGCAATGTAAGCAACCCTCTCATACATCAGGCATCACAAGGGCTATCATTGTGAAGTGTCAGAATGATGGGGAATTGTCATATACCATATCCGAGCACCTCCAGTACCTCCTGCAAACATCCCCACCACTGGTCCGACCCCCTGTTTCCCCATCCACTCCAGCCCTCCTTCACCAACAAATGCATGAAGTACATCTCAGCAGGACTAGCCCTGCTATCATCCGCCCAACTCTGCTCCACTCCTCCAACACTACCCCTATTTCCTCTGACACCATATTCCTACCATCCAACTCTATCTGGAGTTCTGCTCCTCCACCCTATTGGTCCGCCCGAATCCTACTCCTACTCCCTCCACCATCTCCGCTTTTCCGACCCACTTGGTTCCTCCAGTTCCTCTCATGTGCTCCATCCAAACTATTGGTCCGCCCGACCGTCTCACCGATCCACTTCTAGACTAGAAACCCACTCAACTGGTCCTACCTCCTTTTGGTATCATAGTTCCTCCTTTCAAATCACCAGTAATCCCTATACCCGAGTGATTATTGATCTGTCACGTACATACTAGTTCTCCAAGCCCCTTTCTCATTGTCTCAGTCATCTTTCTATAATTCGTACACTCAGCACATAGCCTTCTGCTATGCTATGCTACTTACTTAGAGTATATAAACATATGCCAAATCTCTCTGTAGATCTTCAGTCTATGACACTCAGTGCCTCGGAGTTTGTAGCCTTGTATCCCATGTCATCTTGGGGAATGATTGTTGCACTTTCCACACCCCCAGGTGCAAGGCAAGGGTTGATGAGTGGTTCGCCTCCCTCAACCCAGTGTAGTGTTTGACACTAATGAACTGCAGAGCATCCCAAGCCTTGACAATCTCCTTCTGTCTGGGCTTAGTGATGACATGCTTGAACCTTACCACCATGAACAAAGGGTGCAGTGGACAACAGGCTTCCTTGGCATCCTCAGGTGGCAGCAGTAAGAATGAGTCATTGGGATCAAATAGAGGGAGTTGCAATGCTGAAACACCTGGTGGTACTGCTGTTGCACAAGTTGCTGCGTGCACCAAGTCTCTAGGATATACTTTCAATGTCTCCTGCTCTTAAGTCAACCATGACAAGTTAATGATGTCATCAGCAGACTCATAGGCATACCACTCACCCCACTGTGCCTCTAGTGATGCAACTGTCTTACCTTGGACATTGTCCAGGTATACCTTTAGGTGTTGTGCTTTACTCTCAGTGCTTCTTTTGCCACAGCAGGTCCTCCATTTCTGTTTCAGATGTACTTGTGTAAATCGGCAATGGGCTTCACTGGAAACATATAGTGAATGTTGTGCAGAAGAGGCATGTTTCTTGCTTGTGTGGTGCAAAAGCTAACAACAACATATAGCATAACCAGCAATATGTTATTTGTGATGATTGAGCACCTTATGGTGTGAGTTTTTTGTGTTATGATGTTACTCATTCTATTGGACTCTCACTTAGCATGTGATGTGAATTCCTTACTGAGTTAGGTAGTGTTTACACTTGTTTACATAGACTCGCCCGTAGGTAGCAAGTCCTCTTAGCTCACTTGTGGCTTGGTTCTCAGTTATTCTCAATACAGTCAATATTCATAATCTTACTAATGCTTTTAGTAGACACAAATGCAGGAAGCTCAAGCCAGCAAGCTTCACTCCACAGACATATTCAACAAGGCATGTA